ATATTAATGAGGAAAAAAAATAAACTTAAATGATTTTAGCAAATGGCTGCAATATAACAAAGAGTGAAAAATTTAAGGGGGTCTGAATACTTTCCGTACCCACTGTATATATATGTTGTTGTATATGAAATCATATTAAATAATATTCTAATTCCCATTTTCAGTGGTTTGCATTGTAGAAGTGATTGAAATATTTTACAATCTGTTATCGCTATCAGCAAAGCTTTGTTCATTTTTGATAGCAATGACAATGGGCAAAACCTGCGTTGTTAACTGATTCTATGCTCACATGCCGTTATCTGCTTTATTGCATAACATATTGTGCAATTTTGGTTGCTCAACAGGAGAACTGCAAGAATGATGAAATTCTGCTGTCTCTGAAGTACGTCCGTCCTGGAAATGGCTTCGAGCCAAAATTCCAACTTCTGGATAAGCTGGAAGTGAACGGTGAGAACGCCCACCCTCTTTTTGTGTTCCTCAAGGAGAAGCTGCCTCAGCCCAGTGACGACTCTGTGTCCTTGATGGGTGATCCCAAATTCATCATCTGGAGTCCGGTGAACAGGAATGATGTCTCCTGGAACTTTGAGAAGTTCCTCATCGGCCCGGGCGGGGAACCGTTCAAGAGATACAGCAGAAGGTTCCTCACCATCGACATTGAAGCAGATATCAAAGAGCTTCTGAAGAGGATGAAATAAACCTGGCAACCTCCTGGTGTTGTGGCCATGTGAGATAGACCGTCCATTCCATATCACTTGGAGATTGTTGTTTGATATAGGCCGACTGTGCAGACATGATTAAGGTGCGGCTGATTTTTAGACTGTTTACTTAATGAAGATGCTTCCTAAAACCTTTCTGAGGGAAGCTTCTGATGTAACTGTAAATGTTTATTATAATAGTTGTAATTTATCCATGAACTGCACAGCTCAGGTTTTATCTTTCAACTGTTAACTAAAATAAAACTCTTTAAAAAACCTTTCTGTTCCTTATTTCTGTTCACGACACTGAACAAAAAAACAGAAGCAGTTCATATGACAAACCTCAGCCTTACACTTTCACTTCCACATTTATTTTATTTTATTTTTTAAATTAATTTTAAGTCACATACTACATATTTCCCCTTGGCACAAGTTAGTACTGTGGGTGTTATAATGCACAGTTAAAATGAATTATTCTCTAACTAAATAAACTTAAGTTTTAATGATCAGCATAATACTGAATCCAGTTTAGATTATGCTTTGTCATGCTGACGCTGTGCAAACGCTGAAAATAACTATCCACACAGTGCAAGTGAAGTTTTGTCATATACTTATGTTATGTGTCATATGCTTATCTAGTCATTTACCTAATCAGAATGACACAGACTTTTGAATTGATATTCAAATTAAGCAGCAGTTTTGTATATAGATACAACAAAAAATTAAAACCATATAGATCCACAGTAATATTTCTACCATTTCTAAATAAAAGCATATTTACCACCAGTGTCCATGACCTGTAAATATTTTATTCAGTTATAAGTATATAGATATTAGAACAAATTAAAAAATGTAAAAGTGTTTAGATTAATAGTAATGTTTTTACTATTATAAACAAAAATACAATTTTTACCGCTAATGCCCATTGACCCATAAATATTTTACCACCAGCACTTGTGAAGTGGAGAAGTCAGAAAGTGGAACTGAAAAGAACACTGTTTATTTTGTCATAAACTGATATTATAACAAGCAAATATAAAATATTTGTAAATTTAAATAAAATTAAAAACGGTAGAGAAAGACCAATAGTAATATTTCTACTATTTTATTCAGTCTAATAAATATATAGTTATAAAAAAAACATAAAATAAAAATTGAAATGAAAACTTAGATCAATAGCAATATTTCTTAACAAATATAATATTTTACCACCAGTGCTGACGAACCATGTGTATTTTATTCAGTGTCAGTCAGACAATGTAGTTTTTTTCCTTGTAATTTAAACAGATCAATGTTAAAAAATGGATCATTTGTCCTTTAGAATGGAGTGATTATTAATCTGTTTTATTGATATTGATTCCTAGTGCAGAAATAAATTAATTTACACAAGTACTAATTAAGAATGACATGTATATACTGTATTGCTATAAACTCTGCTATACAAACATACATCTATACAACTTTGCAAGTAGCCCCAATTTTTTAGTAGCTTATATTTTCTTTTGGAAATGACCCCCTTTCCTTCAAACTGAAAAGAAGTATAACATATAAATCGTTGAGGGCACCAAAACTATGGTGATAACTGTAAGTCCCGCTCCAAAGCACTGACATCACAGTCAGCAGTGAAGTCATTGTCCCGCTCAATCTCAAGAATCATGTCTAGCAAGAAGGAATATTCCTCCTTACTATCGTGAACCCAGTAGCCTGTACTTCCCTCTTCCACATCGCTATTCACACTTTC